TTTTGAGACGATGTCTGGCTCTTGTTGCCCAGGCTGGAGTGCAATGGCACGATCTCAGCTCACCACAACCTCTGCCTCCCAGGTTCAGGTGATTCCCCTGTCTCAGCCTCTCAAGTAGCTGGGATTACAGGCGCCCACCACCATGCACAGCTAATTTTTTGTATTTTTAGTATAGAGATGGGGTTTCACTATGTTGGTCAGGCTAGTCTCGAACTCCTGACCTCAGGCAATCCACCCGCCTTGGCCTCCCAAAGTGCTGGGATTATAGGCATGAGCCACCTTGCCCGGCCTCAACCAAGTTTCTTTCAAGTCAAAATTTGAAGCACGTTTCAATACTCTTTCTTTCTCTCTCTAGCAAATACCAAAGGCAACAAGCGATCCCGAACGAGGACAGATTCCTACTCTGCTGGCCAGTCAGTAGGTGGGTGCATCCCACGGGAGGTCGCGAAGGCTCTCCCCTTGTGCAAATGTGTTTCTAGAATGGGGTGGGCTTCTAGTCAGTGGGTGCATCCTGCTGGAGGTTACAGAGGATTTCCCCCTTGTCCAGAGTGTTTCTAGAATGGGGTGGGCTTTGTTATTGCCAGTAGGAGGCTTAACTAGTAATGGCTACTGAATATGAAGGAAGTAAAACTAGTTTTCTCTTGGTTCTTGACAGTGATAGTTTTGCAAAGGTGCTATCACTGCCAACATGTCACCTGATAAGCATTTAATCAGACTTCAGATACTCAGTCTAGAAATATTTACCGAGCACCAAACAGCTAATATGTTTTTTATTCACTGTTTTGCACATGGAGTGGGCACCTGAAGCTCCGAGATTTTTATCAAACTATCTGATTTTAATCCATCTGTAAAAACACAGTTTAAAGTAAGTCTCAATATCAGCCCATTAATGGTGTCTGGGTTGGGGTAATTATTAACAGTATTACCATGGTCCTCAAGCATTGATAATAGCTCAGAAATGGGAAGATGCAAACAGAAGAAATTTATTTGCATTGCTGGGAGGAGCCCTGGAACTACATGGAACAGTGTTTGTAGGAGCGTGACTCACAGAGCAGGAGTCTAGGAAGACTTGGGTCCCCCCGAGAGCCAGAGTACTTTTTCTGTGTGTTGAAACCTCTCAGGAGTGTTCGAGTCAAGCTGTTTAACTTTGTTTTATTTTATTTGTATTAGTTTCCACCACACACAACATTGAGGTTACTGGTTTTGGGGGTTCTTTTTTTTAGTAAAACTGTTTAGACTTCCCTTCCTCCCCGCCTCCCCATCCCACCCCATTTTTTCTTCATGACATTTAGCAGCACCCTACATAGTTCACACTTTGGGAATTACGCTGGGGTGTAAAAAAAAGTAAATATTCTCTACAAATCTTTACAGAACACTTACAACTAGTTAAGCCAAATATTGTCTAGGGGTGCAAAAAGAAAATGTAAGGTACAGTGGTTGCCTGAAGAAGCACCGAACAGCATTACAGAATTGACCATAGCATGCATGAAATAATCAGAGAGCAGTACACCCTGCCGTGGAGTCAAGTGCCTGTGTGTGCTTTGGTGTGCAGTGGAAGGGGATTCAGAAAAGGAGGCTTCACTGTGACCTGCAGCTGTGAAGAGAGCACTTGGGTTGGTGGCATCTAATCCTCACTTCACCTGACAAAGGGTAATTTTTTTTTTCTTGAGATAGAGTCTTGCTCTGTCACCTAGGCTGGAGTGCAATGGCGCAATCTCAGCTCACTGCACCCTCTGCCTCCCGGGTTCAAGCGATTCTCCTGCCTCAGCCTCCCTAGGAGCTGGGATTATAGGCACATGCCACCATGCTTGGCTAATTTTTTTGAATTTTTAGTAGAGATGGGGTTTCACCATGTTGGCCAAGCTGGTTTCAAACTCCTGACCTCAAGTGATGTGTTTGCGACCCTCAAAGTTCTGGGATTACAGGCATGAGCCATCATGCCGGCCAAAGGGTAATTTATCCTTATTGGATAGATGGAATCTGATGGGTAGAAAGGAAAAGGATGTTCCAGGCAAGAAATTGGGACCACTGTGTTATTATATCATATGTGGACACTGTGACAGGATTTGGGAATGCCTAAATAACTAGGCTAGTAGGACCCACAGTCTCTGGGGTAGCTTATATTGGTGGCTGGTCTCAAATGAAGTGTGCTTAGACTTACTGGCTTCATTCTCAGGGCCCAACTCCCTAGTACATTCTCAAGTGGCTCCTATATGCTGCCTACAGTGTGCAGAAGAGAATGAGGACAGCCAGTTCTGCTGGCACCAAATGGTGGTGGATCTGGTTGTTTAATTTAAAAGTTAAATTCCAGGCTGAGCGCGGTGGCTCACACCTGTAATTCCAGCATTTTGGGAGGCCAAGGCAGGTAGATCACCTGAGGTCAGGAGTTTGAGAGCAGCCTGACCAACATGGAGAAACCCCATCTCTACTAAAAATACAAAATTAGCCGGGTGTGGTGGCACATGCCTGTAATCCCAGCTAGTGAGGAGGCTGAGGCAGGAGAATCGCTTGAACCCAGGAGGCGGAGGTCGCAGTGAGCTGCCTTTGCACTCCAGCCTGGGCAGCAAGAGCAAAACTCTTGTCTCAAAAAGAAAAAAAAAAAGTATTAACTATCACTCCTTCATTCAGAAGGTCTGTGGTGTACAAGGACAACATTCAAAAAACTTAATAATTCTGATTTCAGACTCTTCTCTGCTGAAAGCCATAATCATTGGAGGTGAACCTAACCCCTGAGGACTTTTTCTACGCAGAGTTGATATGAAAATCCCTCCAAGGCATAACATTTCAACCTTGTGTGTGTGACACATTCCAAAGTTAATTTTCTTTATCAGTTTTGTCCAAACACATTTTATCACAAAGCCTTTGACCTATGCTTCTGTTCCTATTCCTATGAGTTTTTTATTTTGTTAATGCAGTTTGCCTGAAAATCTGTGTTTCAGTTCTGATAAGCACCAAGTTTTTTCTTCAGTAATTATTAACTCACATTTGAAAATGGCTTTATAGATTTTTTAAAAATTGTTTTAGAAATGGAGTCTCAGGCTGGTCTTGAAATCAGCTACTCAAGTGATCCTTCCACCTTAGCCTCTTGAGTTGCTGGGGTGACAGCTGTGTCCAGCTTAAAAACGTTGAAATACATAAAGAGTAACGTAAAACTTTCCTTCTCTTTTCCCTTTAGGGTAGGGAGGGCAGGTGTTGAAGGAATAGAGGGTGTAGAGAATTAGACGTTAACAACAACAGTGGCCTTTTGGTGTTTGAATTCTCTGTTAATCGATTTCTTTTCCCATAGAAATTTTGGACGGTGTGGAACTTGGGGAACCAGCCCATAAGAAAACGGGGACCACAGTGCCAGAATCTATTCATTCTTTCAGTAAGTTCAGCCTCGGAGGAGCAGCACCAATGATTAGCTCATTAAGAAAATAGCAGCTGTGTTATACCCTGAGAGGGGTCAACAAGATGAAGCCACAAAACCGCCTTTGAGCAGGAAAGAGTCCATGAATTTCTCATTATATTCTGAGGACAAAGATGGACACAGAGGAAGGATTGCTGCACACTTACAAAAGTGAATACTTGAGAAAAACAGGGCACCCACTGAACCTGTTGTCCTGCTCCCACTCTCACTGTTACTTCTCCTTTTGTGTATTCCAGTTGGAGACGGTTTGGTGAAACCAGAGGCCCTAAATAAGAAAGCTATTCAGATTATTAACAGGGTTCGAGATAAGCTTACTGGTGAGTGTGTGTATGTGTTAACTTAGAAAGGACATAAAATCTGAGCACACTTTCGTCTCTCTGAGTGGTGGTCAGCCCTATGTCCAGTGGTGTTGGTGACGAGCTTTGACACCATGCAGCTGACAAAGAGTGTCTCTGAGGTCATCAGTTAAACATTGTCTCTGATTCTTCTTTCTGATGACTGATAACAGTACTTAATATTAGTTAAATCTCATTTAACTCGGGAGGTGAGTAAATTTCTGTTGGGTCCAAAATCAGCCAAATTCAGGGAAATGTTTTTTAATCATCATGTCTTTTTCTTTTTTTTTTTTCTTTTTTTTTTGAGACAGAGTTTCACTCCTGTTGCCCAGGCTGGAATACAATGGCACCATCTTGGCTCACTGCAACCTCTGCCTCCCAGGTTCAAGCAATNTTACAGGGAGCTGAGATTGTGCCACTGCTCTCCAGCCTGGGCAATAAGAATGAGACTCCATTTCAAAAAAAATAGTGAAAGACAACTGGTTTCAAACAGATGAAAAGGAAGTTAGAAGCCACAAGACACAATAAAAGGAGGCTATTGCAATAATGGGGGTAAGGAACATTAAGTGGGGCTGACAAGCGCTCTGTATAGATTCCCTCTGAAACAACAGTCCCCAACCTTTTTGGCACCAGGGACTGGTTTTGTGGAAGACAGTTTTTCCAGACTGGATGGCGGGGAGATGGTTTCAGGATGATTCAAGCGCATTACTTTTTTTTTTTTGGAGATGGCGTCTTGCTCTGTCACCCAAGCTGGAGTGTAGTGGCGTGATCTTGGCTCACTGCAACCTCCGCCTCCCAGGTTCAAGTAAGTCTCATGAATAATAGGTGTGCACTACCATGCCTGGCTAATTTTTGTATTTTTAGTAGAGAGAGGGTTTCACCATGTTGACCAGGTTGATCTCGAACTCCTGATGTCTGGTGCTCTGCCCGCTTCGGCCTCCCAAAGTGCTGGGATTATAGGCGTGAGCCACTGCACCCAGCCCAAGTACATAATACATTTATTGTGACTGTATTTCTATTATTACATTGTAATATATAATACATATTTTTTTGAGACAGAGTCTCACTGTATCACCAGGATGGAGTGCAGTGGCGCAATCTAGGCTTGCTGCAGCATCCGCCTCCCAGGTTCAAGTGATTCTCCTGCCTTAGCCTTCCGAGTAGCGGGGATTATAGGCGCCCACCACCATGCTCTGCTAATTTTTTTTTGTATTTTTAGTAGAGGCAGGGTTTCACTATGTTGGCCAAGATGGTCTCAACCTGCCTCAGCCTCCCAAAGTGCTGGGATTATAGGCATGCACCACTGTGCCTGGCCTGAAATAATTATTCAACTCACCATAATGTAGAATCGGGGAGCCCTGAGCTTGTTTTCCTGCAACTAAACTGTACCATCTGGGGGTGATGTGAGACAGTGACAGATTATCAGGCGTTAGATTCTCATAAGGAGCTTGAAACCTAGATCCCTCGCATGCGCAGTTCACTATAGGGTTCGCGCTTCTATGAGAATCTTAATGCTGACCCTGATCTGACAGGAGGCAGAGCGTAGGCTGTAATGCGAGCGATGGGGAGTGGCTGTAAATACAGATGAAGCTTCCCTCACTCGCCCACTGCTCACCTCCTGCTGTGCGGCCCAGTTTCTAACAGACCACAGGTTGGTACCAGTTTGTAGCCCCAGGGGGTTGAGGCCCCCAGCTGTAAAGAGAGAGCATGCCTAAAGAGAAGCTCTTCTCACCCCGCATGGTAGCTCACACCCGTATTCCCAGCACTTTGGGAGGGAGGCCAAGACAGGTGGATCACCTGAGGTGAGGAGTTCAAGATCAGCTTGGCCAACATGGTGAAACCCTGTCTCTACTAAAAATATAAAAATTAGCCAGGTGTGGTGGTGTGTACCTGTAATCACAGCTACTGGGGAGGCTAAGGCAGGAGAATTGCCTGAACCTGGAGGGTGGAGGTTGCAGTGAGCCGAGATTGCACCATTGCACTCCAGCCTGGGCAACAGAGTGAGATTCTGTTTTAAAAAAAAAAAAAAAATTGAGAAATATGGATGCATATTTGGAAGGCAAACACTAAAATAAAATTACATTAAGATAAGTGATTTAGGAGAATAGGCAAGGCTTGTTTGTTTTCGAGGGGTTCCTTTTGGGTTTTGCTGTCAGTCCAGTGCAGAGATACAGGAAGGGCAAAGGAACAAAAAAGTTAGAGCAGTGACAGAAGGAAATTAAAAGACAGATTTATGATCTGGGAGCCTAACCTCAAGGACCACTCTGGGGTGTGCTTTGATTAACTGCCTGAGGCATGCTTAAAGGCAGAAACTTGAGAGAGCGGGCACTGGGGAAGTGTCCTTGTGGGACCTCAGGGGCATTAGCCGTTGACTGGAAATGATGAGTGTGTCCCAGGCAATTAGCTGTGGGAGAACTCAGGGAATACCCTAGGGTTGTCAGACCTTGGTCTTTTCATTTTCAAGTTATCTGCATAAAGCTTTGAAGAAGCTCAAATTATTAAAATATTCCTTTTCTATCTGCCTTCTTAGGTGCCCTTTCTGGTAACTGGAGGCCCAGATGTGCCCGTCATGTTTTTTTCTGAGGCTTTTGTACATTAGTAAATGCTTCCACTAAACTGAAACCATGGTGAAAGAGTTTGACTTTGTTAAATATTTTGAAATGTAAATGAAAAGAACTACTGTATATTAAAAGTTGGTTTGAACCAACTTTCTAGCTGCTGTTGAAGAATATATTGTCAGAAACACAAGGCTTGATTTGGTTCCCAGGACAGTGAAACACAGTACTACCACATAAATCAAGCCATTCATTTTGGGGAACAGAAGATCCATAACTTTAGAAATACGGGTTTTGACTTAACTCACAAGAGAACTCATCATAAGTACTTGCTGATAGAAGAATGACCTAGTTGCTCCTCTCAACATGGGTACAGCAAACTCAGCACAGCCAACCAGCCTCAGGTCATGGAGGACATGGATTAGGATCCTGGACTGTAAAGATGCGGGAGATGCCAACCTCACCCCTGCCACCCATCCCAAGACCTCACTGGTCTGTGGACAGCAGCAGAAATGTTTGCAAGATACGCCAAAATGAGTGCAAAAGGTCTGTCTTCCATCAGACCCAGTGACACCGTGACTCACACGCTTCAATCCAAGACCCCACCGCTAGTAGGGGAGTTTATTCAGATCGCTGGCGGCCTCAGCTGAGCAGATGCACAGTGGGGCCACCCACACCGGCCTTCCGCAGCATGGGTCTGGGATGTTTTCAGTGGTCAGAATACTCTGTTTAGAGCAAGGGCTCAGAAAACAGAAACACTGTCCTGGAGGTGCTGAACACAGGGAAGGGCTCGACATATTGGGAATTATGAGCAGAACAAATACTCAACTAAATGCACAAAGTATAAAGTGTAGCCATGTCTAGACACCATGTTGTATCAGAATAATTTTTGTGCCAATAAACAACATCAGAATTTTAAACATACATATATGAGTGGCGTTTTAGTCATAATTTTGATCAGTTCAAAACGGAAGCAGTTCCTCTTTCAACACTCACTTTGTAGTAGGGATAACAAAGGACATAACGGGGTACGTGACGTGGTCCCTCTCCTCAGACTGTTCCCAGGCCAGACAGGTGGAGACAGCATGCCACAGAAGTGAACAAAACTCACCCCAGCCAAGTGATCAGAAGAGCCGCGTATGGGTCACAGGTAGGAACGCAGATTCCAGTGGGTGAGCCTGGAAAGCCTCATGGAAAGGGGGCCATTTGGCATGGGTCTTAAAGAGGAGTCGGACTCTGTCGGATGAAACAAGTGAGGACATTCTCAGCAGAAGAGGAAGTGCAAGGCACTGCTCTGAAAGCATGGTATCCACGGCAGTGGTGAGTATCACTTGGACTGTGTGAAATTGCAGGTACATGCACCTTTTTTAATATACACAACTGGCGTTTTCTTATGGCTGCACCTCATAGATCAGCATATCTGGCTACCAGTGGTCAGTGGGGAATAAAGGGAATAACATCAAAATAGTAGTAACTAAAGGAGGCAGGAAAGGAGCATTGGCAGGACTGGAGCCTCCCTCAGATGAGCAGCAAGGAGTATAAACCTGACACTGTGAAGTTTTAAAACGGAGTAGTATCTGAGTGGTGTTTTTTGTTTTTGTTTTAAGACTGGGTCTCGCTCTGTCACCCAGGCTGGATTGCAGTGGCACAATCATGGCTCACTGCATCCTCAACCCTCTGGACTCAGGTGATCTTCCGGCCTCAACCTCCTGAGTATCTGGGACTACAGATTCTTACCACCACGCCCAGCTAATTTCTTTATTTTTTGTAGACAGTGGGGTGTTGCCATCATTCCCTGGCTGGTCTTGAACTCCTGGACTCAAGCTATCCACCTGCCTTAGCCTCCCAAAGGAGCCACTGTGCCCAGCCCTGAGTGGTGTTTTTAAAAGACAACTGGTGGCCAGGTATGGTGGCTTATGCCTGTAATCCCAGCAGTTTGGGAGCCCGAGGCAGGCGGATCACCAGAGGTCAGGAGTTTGAGACCAGCCTGACCAACATGGTGAAACCTTGTCTCTACTAAAAGCGCAAAATTAGCTGGATATGGTGGCACATGCCTGTAATTCCAGCTACTTGGGAGGCTGAAGCAAGAGAATTGCTTGAGGCCAGGCGCGGTGGCTCAACCCTGTAATCCCAGCACTTTGGGAGGCCGAGGCGGGTGGATCACGAGGTCAAGAGATCGAGACCATCCTGGTCAACATGGTGAAACCCCGTCTCTACTAAAAATACAAAAAAGTA